CATAAATCATTACAAGAAGTAGAGACATCCTTTTTAGACATGTTAAAGATAGAACTTTTCTTTTTAGATGCCTTGGTGGAGGTTGTATTAACGGCTTGAAGATTAACAACTTTATTAGTTAGCTCATCACAATGTTTGCACATGGTTTCTATTATAGCAAGCAAACTTTTATACGCATCTTGTGAGCTAGCTAACTTTTCTTTTAATTTTTCATTTTTCTTTACAAGTTGCTCATCATTGATTGTGCATGCATTTGTTGTTGCACTATCCTCAAATTTCTCAATTTTAGTAGATAGTTCAATATTGAGATTAGCAAAGTTCTCATATTGTTCAAGCAAAATTTTATATGCTTCTTGTGAACTATCTAGCTTTTCTTTTAATTTTTTGAGCTTCTTTTGTTGACTAGTGCAAACTTTAGCATAATTAAGATTTTGTTACACAATTTCATCATAAGAAGCCATTTCATCATCACTATCACTCTCACTAGAGGATGAGCTTTCGTTACCTCGTGCCATAAGGCACACACGAGAAGAGCTTGATGATGATGCTTGAACCCTCGCCTCTTGTGATGGTGTTCTTCTTCACTTGAAGAATCATCCCATGACCTTATTGATGTAAGGGTTTGGTTCTTGCATGCCTTCTTCTTTGTCTTAGGTGTGGGCTTGTTTGGACAAACTTCCATAAAGTGCCCCAACTCACCGCATCCATAGCATCATCTTTTTCTTTGTTCATTTTTTTATTAGTAAAAATGAGATCTTGGATTTGGATGGCCACACCCTTGACATTGAGCCTTTAGATCATCTTCTCCACCTTGTTGATTAGTTTGATTGATTCTTCATCAAGGTCGGAGGTGGAGGAGGAAGATTGATCATCTTCACTTGAATCTTCATCATCGTCCTCATCTTCTTCTTCATCTTCACTTGAGGAACTTGAGTTTGAGCTTGTCTCAACTTGCTTGCCCTTCATCTTCTTTTTCTCGCTACATGCGAGAGCTTTGCCTTTGCTCGATGAAGAGGCTTCGTCTTGACCCATCTTGCGTGACATTTCAAATGCCACTATCTTGCTAATGACTATGCCCAGGGTCATGGTGCTCAAGTTCTCCATGTTGTGAAGGATGGTGATGATACTTGCATATTTCTTTTGTGGTAGCACGGAGATGATCTTCCTTACGATGTCCGCATCATCTAGCTTTGTTAATCCTATTGAATGGAGCTCATTGATAATTAGATTCAAACGAGAATACATATCACGAACAAGCTCATCATCATTCATTGTAAATGAATCATAATTTTGTTTAGCTAGACAATGTTTTTGCTCACAGACATTAGATGTGCCGTTTTGGAGCTCTTGGAGTTTTAACCAAATTTCATGTGCCGTATTTAAAGTGAACACTTGGTTAAACACATCCATGCTAAAAGATTCAAACAAGCAATTCTTAGCTCTAGCATTGAAATGTATTTCCTTTTCTTCACTCTTTGTGGGTTTATCGGGATTCTTAATGGGTTTCATCCCGTCACGAGTGACTCTCCAAACTCCTAAATCAACCGCCTCAAGTTAGCAAGCCATTCTAACTTTATAATAGGAGAAATTAGTGCCGTCAAAGTGCGAAGGCCTAGAGGTATCCATCCCAACCACTCTAAATAACGTCGGCTCAACGGCGGTTAAGCCAAAAGTCCAAATTGAGCCAACCGGCTCTCATACCACTCGTAGGGGACCGTGACGCCTAAGAGGGGAGGGGGTGAATTAGGCAACTTAAAATTCAAACCCAAAACTATGGTCTATTTTTCTAACCTTAGCAAAACCTATGCAAAAAATAAACTATCTAAATGTGCAACTACGGTTTTGCTAGTGTGTTGCTATCTCTACTATAAAAGGAGTAATACAATCAATGTAAATGCAGAAGCTAAAGAGTAAGGTAGAGATACGCAAACTCCCGTCGATGACTCCGGTATTTTTACCGAGGTATCGAGAAGCACGCAAGCTTCCCCCTAGTCCTCGTTGGAGCCCCTCGCAAGGGCCAAGCTCCCAGTCAGGTAACTCCGTGGATAGCCTCGGGCCTTCCTCACGCGCAAGTGGGTCTCTGACGTGCCTTTCGGAAAGCCTCTCTCGAATACACGGGCCTTGTTCCCTCCGGTACACGGTGGGGGCCACACCACAACCGCGGTTGGTGTGATCTCGCAAGACTACAAGCCCCTCCGATGTACAACAATGGTGCGCGCAAGCACCGAGTGGTAAGAGGTATGCAAACCTCACTAAACGCTAGGCCTAAACCTAGAGCAAATGCATAAGCGGTGGTCTAATCAACCTAACCACTTCGCAAAGCACCCATGCTAATCACCTAATGAATCACTAAGTACTATGCAAGTGGTGATCACTAAAATAGTGTATCAACACCCTTGGTATGTTTACTTAGCTCCACACTCTTCAAATGGCCGGTTGGGGGTCTATTTATAAGCCCCATTGAGAAAGTAGCCGTTGGGGACGAAATCCCGCTTTTCTGCTACTTACCGGACGCTGATCACGTCCTGACCGGACGCGTCCAATTGTCCCGACCGTTAGAGCCGCGATCAACTGATCAGACGCTGCCAGCGTTCGATCACATGCCACCAGACGCGTCCGGTCGTAATTTCGCCGCTCTGGAACCTTTCTGTACTCGATCGGACGCTGCAGTTCTGCGTCCGGTTGATTTGCCGCCAGCGTCCGGTCGCTGCTGCTGACGCCTGCTGTTGCTGAGCCTCTTGATCGGAGCGTCCGGTCACTTTCCGCCAGCGTCTGGTCCAGTGTCCGGTCATCTCTGTGAGCTCGTTTCTTCGTGATCTTGCGTCCGGCTTGGTTCCTATCTTCGTGCTTGAAATTTGCTTTATAATTAGTACAACTTTGAATATCTCACTTGTTCTTGTAGATTGGTACCCATATACATCTTCTCCACTCCTTAGGCATATTGTTCGATCGAAAGATATTGTTGAACATCTTGGTTAGCCATACTATAGCTATATCCTTGAGACATCTTCACACCTTGATTGGGATACCATCAGGGCCCATCACTTTGCCCTGTTTCATCCTTTTCAAGGCTTGTCTGACTTCGGATTCTTGAATCCTCCACACAAAGTGCCTGTTAGTGTCATCAAACGAGTCGTTCAGCTAAACGGTGGTATTGTCATTCTCACCATTGAATAATTTATCAAAATACTCTTGCCATCTATGTCTGATCTCATCCTCTTTCACCAAGAGATGCTCCCTCTCATCCTTTATGCACTTGACTTTGTTGAAGTCTCTTATCTTCCTATCGCGAGCCCTAGCCATCCTATAAATGTCCTTCTCTCCTTCCTTCGTACTCAAACGTTGGTAAAGGTCCTCATAGGCCCGTCCCTTTGTCTCACTCACCACTCGTTTTGCAGTCTTCTTTGTCACCTTTTACTTCTCTATGTTGTCTACACACCTGTCTTAATACAAGCGCTTATAGTACTCTTTCTATTCCTTAATAGCCTTTTGCACATCTTTATTCCACCACCAAGTGTCTTTCGAGTCACATCCGCTCCCTTTGGTCACTCCAAGCACCTCTGAAGCAACCTTCCGAACGCATGTTGTCATCTTCTTCCACATGCTGTTTGCATCGTCTTCATCCTTCCAAGGGCCCTCTTCAATGACATTTTCCTTAAAGACCCCTGATGCCTCCCCTTTTAATTTTCACCATTTCGTTCTATCAACCCTAACTTGTTTGTTCCCACGAGCTTGCACCAGAAAGCGGAAGTCAGCCACCACCAGCTTGTGTTGAGCGACCACACATTCTCCAGGTATCATCTTACAGTCCACGCATGTTCGTTTATCCCTCCTTCTTTTAAGGACAAAGTCAATTTGACTAAAGTACTGGCCACTACTAAAGGTCAATAAATTGGACTGTCTCTTATGAAAGAAAATGTTAGCTATCATCAGATCAAAAGCTATGGCGAAGTCTAAGACTTCCTCTCCCTCCTGATTCTACTATCATATCCGAAACCCCCATGAACCGCCTCGAAATCTGCACTTGATGTACCTACATGGCCATTAAGATCACCTCCTATAAAGAGCTTCTCGCTACTAGGGACAGCTCTAACCAAACGATCTAAGTCTTCCTAAAAAAGCCGCTTAGCACTCTCATCATGGCCTACTTGGGGGGCATACACATTAATTACGTTTAAGACCATATCACTAATGACAAGTTTAACTAAGATGATCCTATCCCCTTGCCTTCTCACCTCCACCACACCATCCTTGAGGCTCTTATTAATCAAAACTCCTACTCCATTTTTATTTAAAGTTATCCCTATGTACCAGAGCTTGAAGCCGGTATTGTCCACCTTCTTCGTCTTCTGCCCCTTCCATTTAGTCTCTTGGACGTATAAGATATTTACACGTCTCTTAACCGCTGTGTCCACTAACTCTCTTAACTTACCTGTAAGGGACCCTACATTCCAGCTACCTAAACGGATCCTAGTTGGCTCCACATGCTTCCTTACCCTTCGCACCCGCCGAGGTAGGTGTGAAGATCCTTGCTCATTTTGCACCATGCGCGCCACTAAGGATACGACGACCCGATCCTTGCTCACTTGACACTATGCCCAGATCGTGACACTGCGCGTCACGGGGGTGACGACCCGGACCTTGCTCATTTAACACCATACCCGGGTTCCGACATGGCGCGTCGTTAAGAGGGTTACGCCCCAACGGGATTATTTTGGGTTTCATCTCCATAAAAGTAGCTAAGTTTTTACATTGGCTCGCCGTGCCTAACACAATCCTCCTTCTTTATCAGGGCTTGGGACCTGCTATACTGGGACACCAAAGACGCACCACCATAGACGGAGTTTATGGGGGTCAGAGGCCTCACAATAAAAAAAGATCAAGAGTCACGTCCAGGTGCCTCTCCCTTCAGATCATTCACTGGATACCTATATCACTGCCATTCAACCATGCATGATCTCATTAAATTTTCCTTCTTGTTGTTATTTTTGTTTCACCAGAAGTACAGGGAGAAGTGTGTTTTAGGACCTGAAGCTCCTGATGATATACCACACGCCACATCATCTAGCATAGTAGCACCTAATATGTGTGATTCTCCGTTCAAATAAGATTTCGGCATTTCATATGTCATGCTATGCCGTTGGACCTTATGTTTAAGACATGTTTCTGATGTGCAGGGCTTCTGAGATACTGATGGACACTGAGGCAGTTATGCCAGAAATAGAGGTGAAACTTTGTTTGTGTTGTCAAAAAAAAAAATTGTTTGTGTTCCAACTGAAAGTTATTAATTACTATCCATTAGACTTAAGATGCAAACGGAAAAAATATATTGTCTTATGATTTCAATTGTGTGATGCAGGTGGTGAACAGTTTTATTATGGATGACACAGAGGTATAGTTCCTTTACATTCTTGTAAATGTGCTTCGTGTGTACGGTGATGGTGACAACTTCATGGTGTCTGCTGAATCTTTCAGATGGCGGATAACAACTTTTCTGTGGACCAGGTACAGGTATAGCCATCTTTTCCTTCATAAAACAAACCTTATATTTGATATTGATTATTTCTGATGCTAATACGTCTATGCTGCTTGCGTACCAAAAAAAAATTGTGATATAGATGGTGGAGAAGGAGCTGATGAATGAAATACAGGTTGTTCAAAATTTCACGACAACAAAGTTATTGCAACTAGTACTTGTGATGGGGCATAACTTACTGCTAACTTTTCCTGTGCACAGATGATTGAGCACCACTCGGAGTGTTCGCAGACTGCGATTGATGAATACATGGATGGCTTGGCCGACTATGCATTTGGCCATTTGGACTACCCAAATTTCAACCTGTGATTACACTCTCAAGGGTGCTCTTTGCCTTCTCTTTTCACGTGCCTGTGAGAGTGAGACTGATACGAGGCTGTTTTCTGACTGAAAGCAAAATGATTGCGATAGTGACACAGATTGTCCCTAATTATAAAGTCGTGGCAGTGCCTGCTTCTTGGAGCATGCTAGAATTGTTCTGGATTTGGAAGGGGAAGATAGATTGTGGCAAGGCTTAGTCGGAGCATACTGGAGCATTTTAAGTAAAAATAAATGTCTAGCATACGTGTTCTGCAATATTAGATGGTTTGAGGAGGCGCTTGTACATGTATTGCAGGTTGGCGTTCACTTGTTTGGATCTCGGATGCTTCTGTTCAAGTTTTAGCAATATTGAATTATGGAGTTGAAGTAGTTAGGCCAATGTCAATGGATGCTTCTCAGGGTGCTATGAACACTTATTTATTCATTTACGAAAAGAGAGTAGGTTTTGTTTAGATGAGAGTACTTGGGCACTGTTTCCAACACAAATACTATTTTTGCTTATATATATGAAACCAAAATTGGAACAATGCATAAGAAAGACAATTCAAGCATCAAGAAATGTTCTCGAGCACATGTGGCACTTTTGAAAATATACCAATGCCAATATAAAGCCTCCGTTAGGATTTGCCTTAGAATCTTCTCTCATTCGTCCACGCATGTAAGCATTTGTAAGATTTGATTTTTAGGTCAAATTGAGCCAAAAGGTAAAAGACTTTGGTTCTCCTCAGTAAAGGGCCTAGTCCATCTCATGATTGGTTAGCGGGAGAGAGGTCAGGAGATAATCTAACGTCGGTTTCTTTAATTTACTAGGTGGAAGACTTCAGGAACGGTAAACATTTGTGACAAATTTTAAACACTATACATGCTTAAATTGTGGACAGATGAATATATTATAAAAGGTTGTTTGACGAAGTTAAATTTTAATGAATTAGGAAAAAAATGTGACTACCCTTTGTATCCACACCAATGGTGCGGATTGTGAAAACCGAGGACTAAAACATTATTTTTTTTAGGTGAAAGAAGAATTATATTAGATAAAATCTGGTATGGAGAGAGAATGCCGAACCGTTTGAATTTTGAATGCAAGGGGCTTGGGGTGGGAGCCGACGGACTCTCGATGCACGTGCAGAGAATACTGCCCTATTCGCTTCGCTGAAAAGCTAGGCTAAAAAGTACCGTCGGTTGATTTCTTATGAGAGAAAAACATTATACCATAGGTGATAAGTTCAAGCACGTGCAAATTCTAGAACCATACTCTCATTCGAGCGAGTACAACTGTACAAGTATCATGTCATGTTTTTTTTTTGCCTTTTTCACTATTAACATCATTTAGAAATTGAATAACCCCCTCTAGGCTCTAGTGTTCACAGATCACAAAAGCACTATGTGAGGTGAGAGATTGAAAGAAGCTGATTCATTTTTGCATTCTAATCCACATAGATTGGTAGAGAATGGATTTTTGCAAACAGATCCTGAGTTCGTTGGAGCACCAGATTTTTATTACTCCTTCCTAACAAACGTCATGCACTAATAATTTTCCTAGCAAAAGCCGCACATGTTCCGCGACGCTGGCCCCTCTCGTCAGCCACCATAGTAGTAATGCTTAGACCCGCTAAGACTTCCCCGTTAAGCTGCTTCCTACTATAAAAAAACAAAGTCCCCATTAAACACGTCTTCCACGAACAACCAAAGAGTTGAGCTGCTATAAATTCCCGGGCCCATCTATCTGCTCGGAGCGCCGCCGCGCGAGATGGCCCCCACCGCCAGCGAAGCCACCTCGTCGTCGGCGACGACCAGTGCCACCTCGTCCACGGACGCCGACGCCCCGGCCTCCCCCTCGCCGTCGCCGTCTCGGCGCGCGGCGCCCACCCTGCTCCTCGTCGCCTTCCTCGCCGCGTTCCTCATCCTCTCCTCCGGCGACGATGCCACGGCGCAGCCGCTCAACGGTATCGTCAACCTTCGTCTTGTTCTGCGACTGCGCTTGTGTCTGCGCGCCCGCGGCGATTGTGTCGGCTAGGGTTTAGGGCTTTGCGTTGGCTCAGGATTTAGGTTGTGGGATGCTACGATTGTATACCCTAACTGGTTGGATTTTAGATAATGCTGGCGGCTTATTTTTCAGTGATGGAAAGTTGCATCTTCTTTCCTGAAGGAATATTCAATCATATGCTGCTTTGCTGGGAATCAAAGAATGTTGGATTGGTTCTGTTGGTAACTGTTGCTGTAGTTTAATAACCTGCCCTTGGAATCAAGCTTGGATCTTGTTTGGATTGTTTTCTATATTATTAAGAACGTATTAACATGTCCTAACAGCTACACACAATAGCTCTTTTTATTTTGTTTCTTCTGTTATTTTAAGCACGGTGTGAGATTTTATACTTGTAGTCCTTTTATTTATGTGCTTGTTGCAGCTTGACGATTGTCTATGCCTGGTGAATGTTGATTTCACGAAATTACTGTTGATAACTTAATATTAAAATGTATATTTATTCCTGTATTGTGTTTGGTAGTCATCTGTATGGCGCTGTTTATTAAATTGGTTATTACTACTACAGGTGTTAGCTTGGAAAGTCCAGAGGTTTCATTTGTTCCCTCCCCCTTGGATGGACAATTTTGTGAGCGAGTCCTCCTATCTGGAGTGCCAAGGTTGCATCTTGATAGCTATGCAAGCCAAATTCGTGTCAAAATGAATGTCTCTCAATCGATTCCTGAGAAATTCCATTGGAAAATAGAGGTTTGCTTTCATAGGTAAGTCTTGTTTTGACTCTTCCTGACTGTAAATGTAGGCATTCTTAGTGTCCAGAAAACTGAAGCAGTTTACCTTTTGCAGGAATGCCTCCATGGATTTATGCCAGTGTGAGATGGGTGAATGGCAAGGTTTTCAAGATGGGATGTGGACTGCTGTAAATTCTCCATATGGAAACAAATATGTTGATGTGAAATTGGCTGATAAGAAACCTGCTAGGTTCACTCTTTCCATTCAGGAAGGTCAGGATTATTCATGAAATCAATTCCTTTTTCTTTTCAGTAATAAACTAAGAGCATCGATTGCTATTCTATCTAAATCATTTTTTGTTGTTTCAAATACTTATGCAGAGTTTCAGAAATGGCGTTTGGCTTGCCTTGGTATTGGATTTGTATTGCTATTCCTCTCACCAATTGTTAGCAAATGGGCTCCCTTTTACTATAGCAGCTCTATGGCTCTTGGGATCCTGCTTGTTGTTCTTATTGTGCTTTTTCAGGTATATTTTTTTCTCAAAAACATTTATATCTTTCTGTAGTAAGGATTTGTTTCCATTGAAACTTGCAACTATGACCATTTCATTCTTCATCCTTAAAAAAAATGAATGTAGTACTTTATTGCCAGAGAGATATTGTCATAACAGTGTGTTAGACTGTTAGCCGCTTGACGGACCTTACTCAAGAAGCGTTTGAAGTTTTTTTTTTTAACTTGAGGTCTTGGAAAGAACATGGCTTGTTGTCTTAATAGACTTAGTACCTGCTTGATATGACTGGACGGAAAGATAAAATAAACATGTAGTGTGTTATTGTTTATCTCTTTTTTTTGAAGGAATATTGTTTCTTTTATGATCTTGATATTGACCTGAGCCCTTTGATGCTATCCAGTTTTTTTCCCCCCTTGAACAAATACTGTCCAGTTTATTTAGAAGTCCACTTTGCACCGTTGCCCATAATCATCTGAATACCCCCTTGAACAAATACTGTCCAGTTTATTTAGAAGTCCACTTTGTACCGTTGCCCATAATCATCTGAATACATGTGAATCAGATTCATGCTTTCGAATATCATCATTTGGAATATCAACAGTGACCAGACAGGTTCACTGTTTTTTGTTACTAATTGATATTGAAATGATATAACCTACATGTCTACACCTTTTTCTCAAGAAATTTGCTGACTACTAGTTTAGAGTGATCTTGTAGTGTTAGTCTTTTGATCCATTTATAATTTCCCCCTCAGATAGATTTGGAACATGTAGTGTTCTGGTTGGCTAAACCAATAGTGCCGTGTTATTTTCAAATTTTCTGACAAAGAACTGCAAATTTCAATGTACTTCCTTTTTATTTGTTGATGATGGTCCATTTTTTGTACGATAACAATATTGATGACCTTGCCTTCATTTTAGGGAATGAAATTGCTACCAATGGGCAGGAAAAGTTTGTTTTACCTTGCAATTTATGGATCTGTGGTAATTACCTTGTACCCACACCATTTTGCAGCTATTTGAATAGGCACTTCTCACTAATTATTTGTACTCATTCATTTTCTTTTTACGTACTTTTAGTTAGGTGTTGGTTCCTATGTTGTACACTACTTCTCAACATTGGTCTCTTCTATTCTTGAAAACTTCGGCTTGAGTGAAGAGTTGTACAACCCCGTAAGTAATTCTTCTTGCATGTTTTCTGATAATAGATCAACTAACTATTTTTACTCATTTCCCTTTTTGCTTGCACAATAGTATTTACTGTTTTCTTTTGTATTCTGGATTTCGGTTTTCTAATGTTTGTTACATCAGAAATGGAGCACACCAGTATATTAGTGCTAGTATCTTTACCATTATGTGGCTTTGGAAAGATTTATAGAAACTAGAGCATGTGTATCAAGTTGGAAGGGAGTTTTTGTTGGTTCTGAATTTTATTTTTGGGCCTGATCTCAGTAACTGATAGCCTGAACCCTTAATTTATTACTTATAGACAGATTCAATACACCCAATTGTTCATTATAAACTACAGCCTTTGGGAGCTAAATTAATCTATATCCTGCTAATGTTTTACGTTTACCAAGATGCACAATACACCTGCCTAAGTTTTTGTTGTTATGATTGGAACGTAGTCTGCAATGATAACTTGTTTATTTCTGACTTCTGACTTACCAAGATGAACATTAGACCTGCCTCAGTTTTGTCATTATGATTGTAACGTAGTCTGCAAAGATAACTTATGTATTTTTTACTCCTGACTTTAACCAGTTATTATCTGGATACTTTGATGTTGTTGTAATTTGTAAGAAATGATGTCAAATAAGTGTAAATAATATGGAAGTTACTGTTGTATTAAATGCATTACTACATGGCGGTATGGTTACTTCAAACATCAGAAGCTTTTTTTCTTTAATGAAGTTTGAAACTTTGACTTATGTAGCTTACAAGAGAATAATCCCAGATATACTGCCCCGTTTATCTATTTGGTGCACTGTGGTAAAAAATTATTGGTTGAGTTTTTATTTTTGTTTGGTATTTGCCTTCCATATAAAACCTAACTGATGTGCAAAAACATAGTGTGCTGCATATAGAGTTCCATGCTTTTATACGAGACCATGCCTGCTGGGTCATAACTCATAATTGGCACATATTTATTGGACACCGTTATTCAGAAAGATGACTTTATCTGCAATAGCTACATCACCTTAAAGACTGCACACTTTGGTTCACCATACACATTTTTTTATATCTTTTGCTATTGCTTGAAGGGCGGGCCTGGTGCAAGCGGTAGAGTCTTACCGCCTGTGACCGGAAGGTCCCGGGTTCGAGTCGCGGTCTCCTCGCATTGCACAGGCGAGGGTAAGGCTTGCCACTGACATCCTTCCCCAGACCCTGCACAGAGCGGGAGCTCTATGCACTGGGTACGCCCTTTTGCTATTGCTTGGAACACTGGACGTTCCTATGCAATTCTCTGATATGGTATAATGGAACACTTATGGTTCACCATACACAGTTTGTTACACTTGATCTGTATGGTATAATGGAGTATTCATTACTTGTTTAAGTACATCAGTCTGTTACATAGTTTTACCTAGTTATCTTTACCTGTTATACAAGTCTTTAAGTAACAAAAATTAATGATGAATTACAGGTTTCTGTCTTCCTGCTGGTGGCAATTGTCTTCACTGGAGCTGGTTTTGGCTATTGGATGGTCAGGAGATTTATCCTTTCAAAAGATGGAAGTGTAGATGCTGGGATAGCGCAATTTGTGAAGTGGGCTATGCGTGTTGTTGCTACATTATTCATTATGCAGGTATGGTTCTTGTTTTCCCTTATCATGCTAAGTATTCTTCTCAAGAACCTGTCTGGTTTATATCTTGATCACTGCTTTGGATGAGGTTGCATTTATCTGCTTTGAATTTCGTATCTGACATGCTGTTTATCTTTCCAGAGCACACTTGATCCTCTTCTAGCACTGGTTGCTCTTGCTTTTAGCTGGTGGTTATGCTCTTTGTTGACTGCAAAGAAAGTTCAGAAGACAGTGACCCAGTAAGTTCCTCAAGTTAGTTGTTGTTGATGTTGTCTATGTACCGGTTGAAGTACTAGTACGCTGGTTTTTCTGCAGGAAACAAAAGCAGTCAAAGGTTCTTTCTCAGCAAATGCTTACTCAAGGATCGCCCAAGAGTCCTAAAATCCAGTTCTTAAGTCCATCTAAGACAGGCTTTGGAAGAACCACATCTAGAAGTTCGGCCACACAGTTCGGTCGGAGCAATTTGGCCAATGGAGGTAACATAACTATATTGTTTGCAACTTCAAAGTTTTTTCTGTTGGCCTGTAGTCACAGCATTCTTTATACGATACTGTTGTCATAACGTTCACATGTTAGAAGTTGTGTTTTCATTTGTTTGAGCTAACGACAGGACCTTTCCATATGATTTTTTGACTGAAACTATTTTCAACACTGTATTGTTTGACTTGACTAGACACTGGGTTTTGCAGGTCTGATCTGCTCAGCACTTACAAACCGCGTAGTACCCAACGAAGACGACGAAGATCACTACTCCACCTTCCACAACATCCAGCCACGGAAATATTCCAAGGAGGAATGGGAGGACTTCACCCAGAAATCGACTAGGAAGGCGCTTGCGGAGTGCACAGCAACCCCAGAGTTTGCCCAGTGGGTCGTTGACAATGCTCATCGTCTGCAAGTAGAAAAAGAGGAAGACAACTTCTCAGAGGAAGATACCATCGAGAGCTCCAACTCCTCGGAAGAAACTGGGGACGAAGCCGATGGAGCTCCAGGTCTGATCAGGCTGTGGGGCTAGCATGCTGGTTGAACTAAGCATGCTCCTGCCATTTCACGTGTAAAGAGTTGCTAGCGCCCATTTTAACTAGTTTAGCAGCAGGGTAGGTTGGTAGCAGTGGATTGTTTCCAGTTGTTGCCACGGTAGGTTCGTTCAATTCTGTCCTGTGTTGCAGTAGTTGGCTAGCCACCTCAGGTCAATTGATGCTAGGTTTAGCTAGCTGTTGGTTATCAGTGGATTCGTAGTTCTTTAGAACTGATAAGGTGAAATGGTTTAAACAATCTAATTTATGATTGGAATCCAGCATTGTGCTGATTCGGTTTGAACTTGGAAGTTGGGTCCTTAGGCATATTTTTGTGCTCCATTTGAATGGATGGACTCATGGACAGCATGTGTGTGGAGAGGATCCCTCGCTGTGCAGATGAGATAAGGTCGGCAAGATGGCAAGTGCGTGCAGTGTAAGCAGATCGAACGCGTGATGTGGTGCGAAAGCCAAATGCAGATGAGGTGAGATGGGAGTGTTGCTTGAAGGAACTTATAGTTCTCAGCATATCGAAAGCGTGACGTGGTGCGAAAACAAAATGCAGATTAGATGAGATAGAACTGTTGCTTGGACTAACTTCTCTTTCGGTTGGATGGGTGGATTTTGACTAAAGGTGGTTGTCATATTCTTTGCGTCTGCACACATTCATCTGGTGTTTGTCCTGTTTATTAATAGTGGTATATAAAGGTATTTGTCCTGTTTAGTGTTATTGGTATATATAAAAGGTGAACAAGGCTCCGGTCTCTCCGAGAGATTTCATCCTTGGTTAAATGGTTAGGACCAGTTAGATCCCTTTTGACCGCAGAGAGATTGCTTCCTGCCTGGTTCTGGTCCATGCACCGTTGGAATTCATCCTTTTTCGGCCTAATCGGATTTTCGTAGATCCATATGTTTTGGAATATATTGGAGTGAAACTTGAACTAAGTTTCATCTAATCCAATCCAATACATACGTATTGAAATGAATTCGACAACGTCAAAACAAGGCAAATTCTATCCATGCACCGTTTGGACCGTTTAGGCCAGCCTAGGTCGACGACTTCGCTAGCTGACTGTGCAAAAATCTGACATGGAGGAGGAAAAAAGAAGAGAGAAAATGGTAGCGCCGAACAAAACGTCAGTCGATTTCTCGTGGCCCAAGAAGATGTGAGGAAAGTAGATGGTAACGCCGTTATGTCAGCAAGTCCGATAACTAGCGGCTAGCGCTACGTAAAGCATGTCAGCTGACCTGTCCTGGAGAAGAGGAGCCTTTTGTGCTACTCCTCTAAAAAAAGAATGTTATTTTGGATATAGATTAAGTCAAAATTTCTTAAATTCAATTAGATTTATTACAAAATATTATTATTTATATCTTCGAATTATGTTTGTTATAAAATATTTTTATGGTTTCTTTAATAAAACTATTACGTATTATAAAGATTAACAATTTTTTATATATTTGATAAAGTTTTGTTTAACTCCTTATAGAGTGAGAATGGTACCTGACTGAATATTATACTTGCTCTTATCTATATGATATTATTGCATTGTTTTATTGGATGAATTGGTGATCCTAGTTGCCTATATTTTTCTCCTTCGTCTTGGAATTTGGATAGCCAATTGCTACGCAGATGCTTGGGTAGAAAGGTGTCCAGTTTCAAGCCGCACAAATATAATTCATTATTCTCACGTCAAGACATGCCTAAAAGGCTACGTATTGTGTCCACAAGGAAAATCGTCTGGTGCACGTAACGCAATGATTGGGTCTCTAAAATATAAAGCACGATTTAACTTATACAGTCTTTAAGATCAAAATTTTCTTGTACTGTACTTTAATATTTGTAGCATTAAAATCATAACCATAAGATAATATGTAACAAGAATATAAAAATACTTTGTAATAAAACTTGCATCTTGTAAGATTGATCCTTGAGAACGCCAGATTTAAGTCCTCGATTTGAGTGAGAGTTCGCATTTTCTTGATTAATTTCTTGTTTTATATCTTTCAAATATGCTTATAAGGGGTGTATGTGCATGTGTTCATAGTATACATCTTCGTCCGTACTATAATTCACAAAGAAGATTAATTCTTGGTTGATTTCATAGGGATAAATGTGGATGCCTTTGTATTAAAAAAATAATCCAATGATTGGAAACTAATTGGATATACGCCTCTCTAAAAGGATACGCATGAACTGAAATATTTCCTCTGTTCCAAATTATGAAACGGAGGGAGGACAATACAAAACTAATTTGAGCCTACCCGCTGGTCATCTCCCACCAGATTTCATGGAGATTTTTGGGGGCTATGACGTCAGAATTTGGGCAGCAAAAACAATAAAGGGAAAAGTCGGTGAACTGTACCCACGAGTACTATGACCTAGTAAACAATTCCATTTGGAGACAAAACAAACAAAAAGTATGACATTGGTGAGAAGCAAACAACAGTTGGAGACGCAAAGCAAAGCATCTCCGTTTGCACACGCACACAAGGGCACGGAATGGAAGGCACGTCCACACAGCCATTCGGAAAGGCAGGATCCCATGAGATCGGGCTTTTTGGAATTCCACCATTATGAAAAATGGGCTTCGATGATTTGCCATCCGACTTCATCAGCTTGCCATTATGAAACACGACCCACTCGCTAGAATGACATCTGATGAGTTTGGAACTTTTTCTTCCTCTTTTGCCCCTGTCCCTTTCACCGGAGCTCGCACGGACGGAACAGAGGGGCGCATCGAGCAGGCTGCTGCTGCTTCGCCGAGCGCCGAGCGAGGAGCCAGCGGGCGCGCTCTACCACGGTGGCCCACCTCTCCCACGGCTAGCTCTCCCATGACGCACCTCTCTCCGCACGCTTCCTCCCCTCTGCGCGCCATCCTCTCTAGGCGTGCGCGCGCCCTGCCTTCCATGGTTGGCCTTGGGGGTACTGAGTACCTGCTGTTCTCCATGGCCGGCCTTGGGTGCGTCGCTGTCGTGCTGTACTCCATGGCCGGCGTGGGGGCGGCGACGGGAGGCGTTGCGATCACGCCCGCCAAGGTGGCGAGGCCCGACCATGGCGTCTTGAGGCGGGCGGGTGACGCTGGGCGTGGGGGCATGGGGAGGCGGGTGGGTGTGGGGAGCTCGCCGTGCTCGGAGAAGATGAGCGCTAGTTGAAGAAGAGCGCTCGTTCCGTTTTGCGACGCCGGCACGCCCTTCGTTTCGCGAATCCGTGCATGTTTCATTGTTTCCCCATCCCTTCTCTATTTTCTCCGGTGAACTCACCATGGAAGCCCTTTCTTCTTGTTTGCAGCAGCTCCGACCGGCCATTCCTCTCAGGTTTTGCGCCCCTGGCCCGTGGCCCTGCGCCATGCCTGACCCTGTCGTCACCGCCGACCCGCGCACGAGCGGCAGGCATGGCCGCCGCCTGCTGCCTATTCGGCCTGGCCAGCCGCCGCTGCTGCCTTGTGGCACGCGTGCGCGGCTGCCAGCCCCCGCGGCCGAGGCCCCTGCCCCGCGTCGAGTTCCCCCTCCGCGAGCAGCAGCAACAACCTACCATGGCTGCCATGGCCACGTACGTACTGAAGCAACCTGCTTCACTAAAACAAAAAGGAAAGGGGCAGGGGCAGAAGAGAAAAAAAAGAGTCCCAAAGCTCTCCAATGGTATTTTGGCATGGTGGCCATGTTTCATAATGAAGATTCGACGAAGCCCCGCTGCGGGATGGTATTTTGACGAAGCCCACTCCCTATAATAGTCGAATTCCAAAAAGCCCCATGAGATCCCATCCCATCCCATCCCATCCCATCCCATCCCATCCCTGGCCCCTTGGCGTGTTCGTCGACGCTGGCTGCCGATACAAAGATAGATGCAACTGTTTCAAAAAAAAATGCAGACAGACCCGGCCCCGTTCCACTCCCCGGAGTCTGGCCGCCGGCCAAGTGAATCCTCCAAGTGACGGCTCTTCTTCAACAATTATTGGGTGCCATGGCTTCGGATCGTTTGTTACGTTGGCCTTTGCGCTCATGGTGTGGCTGCGTGGACTTCCAACCTTTTTTTTTATCCCAGTTCTGTTTGGTAGGTTATTAACTCTTGCGTTTGATATATATAACTATATATTTGTAATATGATATATTTGTTTGATGTTGAAAATTAATATTGCTATATATGTTTTTCCATAAATTTGGTCAAACTTCAAGATGTTTTTTTTTTTGAACTGGCAACAGGGGAAAACACTTTCCCACTTGATATATTGCACAGGAGCAGCAAAGATGTTGCTGTTCAAATTAAGGGAGATTACACAGCAGCAGGACTGAAGGAGAGACTAATCCATAAAGGAAACAACAGAGGTACACCCAAACTGCTACTATAGCACTTGTGTCTTCTCATGGTAGACGACACAGCAAAAAGGAAGGTTTAACTTCAAGATCGATATTTAACTTGGGACAAACTTAAACGACTAAACCGTATTCGTTTTAGAACAAATGGTATAGTGATTTAATAAGTGAATATAACAAAAGACTAAGAAAATACTAGCAAACCGTACAATATAAATTGTTAGAATGCATCACCATTTGAAAACATAAGGCATATGGTGGAAAACCATTAATTTGCAACGAGCATAAGAAAAAAGTGGTGCCATCTTAACTTTGGTTCAATCGTCAAGCATGATTCTTGCTAGCGGAGGCGGCGGGTAGCCCTCCCTATCATCATCAAGCAAGCAACATCATTTTTTAACATAAGAACGCTGCCATTCAATTAAGGTGAAAAAATAGATTACAGTGGCGAGCAGCATCGTTACATTACATCGAGCATGACGCTATAGAACAATGATTCACAAAAAAATAGACGCTATAGAAATAGAACAATAATTGTATGGCAAGGTGACATCTTGCCAGATCACATGCATAAGCAAAGACAAATCCAACGGTTCATAAATCGTGTGCCAGAAACAAACAAATTACTCAAGCAATTGAATGTCAAGCATGCCAATGCATGTGTGGTCCACGTCAAGGATTTAATAAATGATAACTACAATTGTGTGAAATAAATGATGTTCTGGATATTGACTTGGTCTCCAAAATACTGACTCTGACCATAATCTGGTTTATGTTTGTATTTGCCCTACATTGTAAAGATATATGGAACTAGTTTTATGTATAAATCTACCTACATCATTTTCAATCTATCCAAAAATCAACACATAAAACATAATTTGCAATCGGAGTTTGAAATTGTTAGTTTGAGAAAACCAAAAAAAAAGTCACTGGATGAGTAAATATCAAGCTAACATCTGGAATTGGTCTTCCTCTGCGACTTGAATGAAGTATAATTCAAGTTTCTCATGCACCTAAAAGATCCTGCACATCTGATAATCAATCGAGCAGGTTCATGATCTGAATCAATGCAAAGACGTCAAAAACATTTTTCCTCACTAAAAAAACGTCATGCGACTTAGAGACGGACAGCAAGATGTGAAGGATTATCAAAGACGTAGCACTACTGGTCTACTGCCAACAATATCTCTCGATGAAACCGGACATTATATATCTGCCACAGGCTATAGCCACGCCCTATACGCGTGGAACACGTGAGCAAGATCCGCTCGTCATCCCCGATTCATTCCGGGGCCCTATCGTTTTGGTTTCTTATTTTTTTATATATACTGGTTAACGTGCCCGTGTGTTGCTACGGGACAACTAAATTTTTATACTAAAAACACACGGATCGTATGATAAGATAACAATACTGTAAAATTAAATATGACCGTTAAAGTGACATTTAATTGAAAAAGCAAAGTTCGTGAAATTAATACGGTTACAGAGAGCGCGGCGTCGCAGGCTCACCAACTCAACTGTATAGACATTTCCGTACGTTGCAACGGGAACAACGAAAAATATCACGTCATGTATGTTGCTTGGTATTATTCAAGGACTCCGTGAAGCCAAAATTAAAATATTTAGAGTTCATATCTCTGTGTTGCTAGACGTTTCCATTTTGCGTTGTTTTATCGAGAAAACTTCGGGTCTGTTTGGATGTCTTAAGAAAAATAAAAATATGGTGGAAAAATAAGAATGCGATATAAACAGTTAGACTCTAGAATTAGATTGTAAAATCCAGCTTCTACCACAAACCTCTACTATTTGACGATTTGCACTATGCTAAGGCAATAATCACTGTGAGAATAAGATCCAAACACTCATAATTTTATCTAGAATCCAGATTCACAATCTAGAGTCTAAAATATCGCTACGAGGATGAGATCCAAACATTCCCTTCATATCATCCAAATATGCAATCCATGTTACCAATCTAAACCTCGTAGTTTTTGATTGAGATCAGGCCCAGTGCTGAGCTACTTATTCTCAAGTCTATTACCACCAAATAATAGCAATAAAACTTATGATTCATGAAAGAGGATGATAAGTCTTAGCTTAATATAAAACAAGGCACAAACTGTGTTTAGCACATTGTGATTGCCAAAAAAAAGAAAAAGCATGCTTGTACCTCAATCAATCCTAAATGAACTCGTGATAACGCCACGGCGATATTTAAACCACCAAAATATTATAATCACCACCAAGTTGAGTCTCCCCATTTGGAGGCAAAAAAATATTCAAGGGAGATGGCTGCAGTGACTAAATCGATGCTATGGCGATGTTCGCTGGTCTGGTCCGGCTGACCAGCTGGCTGGTCCTCCTCACATCAACCAGCCAGTTTCAGCCGCTACAGTGTTTCTCTCTCACAACAACCAGCCAGTTTCATCAGACCAGCGAACAGGACCTATATAATGACATCGCATGAACCTACATTTAGGTGATAAACATGCTATTTGGCATATATGTGGTCGGACTCCAAACAATGTGCGTAATAACACAACATATTTAGGAACAATGGACACATGCCAAAAATCAGTATCACGGGTCAATCAAATGGCAGGAACTGAATTCATGGCTAATCCCAACAAAGAAACAGGTCACTTGCCTACAGGTAAGGACAGAGCATTGACACCTTTATAGAAGAAACCTAATCAGAAATAAATAATCTGTTGCTAAGTTGACCATACCACTTTCATTTTTCGGATTACAGTGATAAGTCATGAAAATCACTCTATCAATAAAAATATTTCCAAATGACCATGATTCCAAATGATCATCACACATATACACTGTCCTGTACTGAACTAATGGAGCCAATTGTTTGCACCTGTGTGTTGGCAGCAGCGGCACCATTTCTGCTTGAACCTGCCACCCTAAAAGGATATTGAAACCTGCAGCGATAAATTGAAGAAAAAACATCAGTTAGATGATTACATGGTCCTGTGAGCAGGTCAGATTTGGCAAATTAAAATGTCATGGCTTGTGTGAATCTAGCTTGGAGAAAATATACTACTGCTCTGTGTTTGATGAAGAAAAATAGGGAGAAAAAATAGTGCATGCAAAGTAAACACTTAAAATACGAAAACATGCACACAAATGTTTCCTTGTATTACAGTGTACAAGGTCGTCTTGATCCAGTAACCCCAAGAAATCATAGCCTTTTTCTTCTTACAGTTCGATTAAGACTCCAAGCTGCAAAATCACATATTCGGCATAAATGGTTTTTTAGAACAAATGATTTTATTTCAACAGCATCTTGCTGATAGTAACCTTACAGAGTTCAGGCGTACAGATTGCAATGCCTGCATTAATGGGCGTTAGTTTACATGATGGTTGTAGCAACAGGAAGACTCTAAATTTAAAATCCGTGGATCAGAGTCTGTGAGAGCCTGTCTAGCTAAGCATAAATGGTTTATATACGATATATATGGACAGTGCACCATTTTATTTTAAATAATCTATACGTCAGTTCCTTTGTTCTAACATGAAAGATCACCAAAACAGCAACATATAAAAAAGCAGTGTGCTAGAGACGTCCGTCACCTTGCATCCTCTGTTAGAGAGGTTAGCCACTAGCAGGATCAGCTGCGTTCAACGTGTCGACTGTCATCAAATGTCGTGTCGTGACCAACAGCGCAAGCCCCGCGCAACTGCGCTATGCCATAAATCATCGCCTGGTGTACCTGTTCCAAAGCGTCCATGACGAGCTACATTAGAAAGTGAACCTGTGAGAAGGGAAAAATCATAGAAAATTAATAGATAAACTAATATGGGTAAAACCTCTACATCTCATACAACTATGAGGCTGTGAAAAATGAAGTACCTCTACTCCAAGAGGTTTGATTTGTCCCAAAGCTTTAGCTGCACCGAATATAGCTGCAGAGCCTCCCATGTCTAATTTCATCAATTCGATGCTGCAGCCTGGCCCAGTCTTAATGTTGTAGCCACCACCGGATTCATAGGCAAATCAAGCATAAGAAAAATAACAAACTATTCCACCTTCATGTCTACTTCTAGTTTTTTATAAAACCACTAAAAATGTTGCAAGTACTACAAAGTACAAACCTGTCAAAAGTTAAACCCTTCCCAACAATAGCCAGCTTTCTTTTGACATTCCCATCAGTGGGTTTGTAGCACAATCGCAACTCCCAAGTAGGAACCCATCTTCAACTCTTTGTATTTCTCTACATCATAAAAAAGTGGTCATTAACCTTCACAATTTGCGTGACAAGTAAGCAACTTCTAGCTTTGTGTCCTGACCGTCAGTAAAACATAAGTTCGGTGACTTACTACCAGAAGAAAGCTGACATATCTGAAAAAAACCTAAGCACCTGAACCTCATCAAACTTATCTGCTACTACATAGTGGATTCAGAAACAGGTAAGCACAGGGGAAAAAACTCGGAGTTTTCCCTACCTGACCATATCGTTTAGTAACTGATGGATGAGCTTTCTTTATTTATCTGATATGTTTTTAAGTAGCTGTCGTTCTTCTGTTTATCTTGGACAACTCAAGACATGTACTAATTCATCAACTGTACTGTATGTCCAAACATTAGTTAATGGGCAAATGTATAGCCCCACCAACAAAAACTTCTCCTAGACAAGTCGCTGTGCAACCATGATAATTCTAAGATTGATCCAGTAACTAAATGCACATATATATATGACAAAAGCGAGCGAGCGCTAGCTGACAGCCGCCTCTCATCGGGTCTTGGCTCTTCGGTTTGGCCAATAGGCCATGTTCCACTCTATTGGAGCACGCACGAGCTAATTCTATAAGTCGAAGTACTATTATGTCTCTTCAAAATGTAAGTCATTTTGGCTTTTCTAAATTCATAGTTTTTATTACGTATCTAGACATGGTGTATATCTAGATGTCTAGCAAAAGCTATGTAATTACAAAAACCAAAATGACTAAAAATTTAGAACAAATGGAGTACTCTTAATTTTATCCAATATTTATGTTTTATCATTGTTTTTTTTCTTATACAGAAGCCAATATAAAATCATGCTAAATAATTAATGTTTATACTTTGGGTCGAGGAAAAAAAATTAATGTTTATACTTACATGCATCTTAGTTGAATATAACATGAATAGAACACTTGCAGAAAGCTCAAAAAAATATTGTACAGTCGGAAGATGTTACCGGAGAAGATGCAAGCTCACGGAGAACATACTGCAGATACATCAGACATGTATACATTCAGACAGTGGGCAAGCAGGAAGAAAACAGTAATGGAACTCTCAACTCTGTAACATTAATCTTTATAAACAGCATGCGATAATTAGTTAATCGCAGAACATTACCTCTGCACAGTCATATTCATGCAATCTCCAGTCAACCTTCTCCACATCTCTGCATCTTACGCAAAATTGTGTCGACTTTATTCCTGCAAGAATTATATTCACATTTCGGATTTATATTCAAAATTCAGATTAAATTATTATTTCAAACTTGATGAAAACAAGAAACAATAATATTTCAAACTTCTTATTGTTACGATCAAAGAAGAGACGACTACAGCTTGCATATCTGTATAATATTAGAACCCAAAGAAGAAATGTCCTCACGTATCTATATGCTCAGAAGCACCATTGAAGAAGCAAAGTTCAGATTTTGGCAAACTGAGCAGTCATCTCTAGATAATGAAAAAGGGCCATCTCTACGACTCTACCTGGGCGCCGCGGAGGTCGGGTGCAGCGTCATCCAAGAGCTCCTTCCGAGTGAAGACCATGGCGAGGAAGATGTTGATAGCGTGAGCAATCCGAGAGTCCGCCGTGATCGATGACCAGATGGAGGCCGTGATTGGACGCTAAAACGGAGAACACTTGTAATTGGATCAGATCCCAATAAACATAACCTGCAAAGCAGATCAAAGCACACACAACTGCAGGCACGCATCCAATAAAGGACATTTGGTGTGCACATGAACGACTGATAATCTTTGAACGGGATCAAAGTTAGTTCGCAGCGAAGAGAAGGGGTGGCATACCTATTGGGCGCTCGTTTTCGGCTAGCGATTGGCGCCCGGCGGCGTGGAGCAGCAACGGTGTGAAGCAGCGAGCCAGCGACGGCAGGGCAGGTCGTGGAGGTGGTGGTGTTTTCGGCGGTGTGGAGGCGGTGGGCATTCAGCGGTGGGGCGTCTAGGCGGCGTTGATGGCAAGGCAGGTCGTGGAGGCGGTGGTGTTTTCGGAGGTGAGGTGCCGGTGCAGGCGCCGCGTGCATGACGCTCCTGGTCACGACCTTGGCGTGGAGGCGTCCGGCGGAGACGAGGCACAGCGATGTGAAGGAGCGACGGGCGTGGCTCCTCGTAGATCTGCAAGGGGTGCTCGGAGGGGTCGGAGCAGGGGTGGGGCGAGGTGCCAGTGCAGGTGCGTGTAGCCGTGGAGCCTACCTCCGTGCTCCGGTCGACAGACAGACCTTGGTCGGCGCCGGAGGTGCTCGTATTCCCGTCCCTCGACCTTGGCCTCCACGTCCATCATGGATGTCGGGGCCCGGGGGTGCTGCCGCTGCTAGATCGAGGCCGCCTTCGCGGTCGCGTGCTCCCCGTCGCAGTCGCCGAGACCCCCGTGCCGGTGCGGGCGTGCGACCGTGCCCTCGCGCGCGAGAGAGAGATGGAGAGCGAGGACATCGAGGAGCGACGCATGGAGCCACCGAGAAGGCTAGACGAGGGTTCCCCAGCTCTACGCGGCCGTCGGCTGCGCGCCCAGATGCCGGCGGGCGCGGGCGACGATGGTGCGCGTGCGGCGGCGGCGCGGCCTGCTGCGGGCGGGCACGGGGGCAGGGTGGGCGCGATGGGGGCGCGGTGGCGGCGTGGCCAGAATCACGGGAGCGAGCGGGATCTCGCGAAGGGGAGCACACGCGCGGGGAGGGGGAGCGAGCGAGCGTGCGAAGAGCATTGGGCTCGCGTGTAGTCGGTCCCACATGCCGGCGCCTTTCATCGGAGTCGCGGGAGGGTATCGCATGGATGGGAGTCAAGAGCGAACAAAAAAAAAAAAAATCGCACAAAAAAATTATCTTACTTTTGTTTTTTTAGTTGTAGGAGAAATTAAGTGGCTATTAAAGGCTATATGCTTATTGTATAATCTTGTCAAAGTGAACATTTTCCCTTACTTGGTTAGACGTGCTGAATGGGAATAGAAGTATAATTCAAGTTTTTCAATGTACTAATTAAGGATCCATTTGGACCTCTACAACCAATAGTTAGCCACTAAAAATTAGATTTATTTAGATCCTCAGCTAATAAATCTAGCTAAATGTCTTACCTGTCAACCTAGCTAACAATTAGCTATTAACTGATTTCTCCTAGCTAACCTAGCTAATAGTTAGCTTAGTGGATTCAAACAGAATCTGAAAATCCTATCATCATATGAAAACGATGTTGATGGGAAAACATTTGTTGTTATGTGATTGTTATTCCTGGAAAAAAACACTTAGAGCATCTCTAACTATTTTTCCTTTAAAAATTGCCAAAAATTGGGAGAAAAAATGCACTCCAATAATTCCTAAGTTTTGGTTCCCAAAAAGAAAATCAAATATGTGCCACAATCTTCTTTTCCACCGAGCAAAACATTGGGAGGCGATTGAAATCTGCTGGTCGTTTTTTCTTGATCTCGGCTAAACAAGGTCTTTGAGACGGTTTGTAGGACTTCTCCGAAATGCTACGGTCCTGGTTAAATTTTTTATACCAATTATAGAGTATGGATATATCTAGCCAGAACTTGCATCTGAATCTAAGTCGGAGAGCAGTTCATCTTCAAATGTTTTCAGAACTTGATTCGTAATCGTAAGCAAAATACTCCAAAATTTAAACCATGTCGATGAATCGACTTCCAATTCTTTTGCGGAGTATAACTCGGACAACACATTATTTATGATTTTTTCCACGGTATATTTTCTGCATTGTAAATAAAAAAATCGTAAAAAAGTAAACAAGACTCTCGGCGATCAGTTGAACGCTTCTAAATCTCGGCGACTAAAACATTCTATTTCTATCCCCAGTGCTACTCGCTTGAACAAGAGCTTGATATCTATATCTATATATATAATATATAGGGCTCTAAATAGCTAATGGAGAGCCCCAGCCAGCACCTCTAGCCAGCCCAACCATTCAGGTTTGCGGTGCTGACGCGCGCGTAGGTGGGGGACCAATGTGGACCCAATAGATCGGATGCATAAAATCACAGGTTAAGCTACGCAGAAACGTTTTTGTCATGATATTGTATAGAAATTAGTTGTTGGATGAATTAAAATGTTGCCGCATAGAAACCTCTCCCCGAGCTGTACGTTCCACCTGATACAACCTGACAAAGCTGATGCACGCATGCAAGCACGCATCCAATCTAATCTCTTTTGTTTTTTTCATTATAATTCCTCAACGAAGCATCCGATTTAAAAACGGTTTTCACCATTGAACTCCTGACTTTTTTGCGCACGATTTAAGATCCATTGTGAATATTTTTTTGAAAAAAACTAAAATTCATGAATTTGAAATTTGAATGTGGTACATTATGGCCGACAGGATGTATAGAAACAATGGTAAAGATGCGCAAAAAAGTATTTTGCGCTGATGTTGCATAGAAATTAATAGTTGGATGAATAAAAAATAATTTTGTTACCGCATAAAAATATCTCCGTGAGATGGACATTTCACCTGACACAACCGTGATTGTCTCCACCAACATCATGCTTCCCACTATGAGGGTGTATAATTAATATAGGAACATTGCATAAAATATGGAGACCGCAAAGGGTAAAACATAGAGACAATCCCATCTTCTCCAAAATTTAAAATTTGAATCATGGCACGTATAGGGGTGTGTAATTAACATGGGGACAATGCATAAAACATGGAGACGATCTCGTCTTCAAAATTTGAAATTTGAATCATGGTACGTGATGGCCGATTGGATGCATAGAATCAATGGTCAAGATGCGCAGAAAAGTTTTTTGCGCCGACGTTGCATAGAAATTAGTGGTTGAACAAATAAAAATTAATTTTGTTACCGCGTAAAAACCTCTCCACACGGAGACGACCTCGTCTTTTCTAAAATTTAAAATTTAAATCATGGCACGTGATGGCCGATTGGGTACATAGAATCAATGGTTAAGATGCGTAGAAAGTTTTTTTGGTGCTGATGTTGCATACAAATTAGTGGTTGAATGAATAAAAATTAATTTTGCTGCTGCTTAAAAACCCCTCCACGTGGAGACGACCTCGTCTTCTCCAAAATTTGAAATTTGAATCATGGCACGTGATAACCGATTGGGTGAATAGAATCAATGGTCAAGATACGCAAAAAGGTTTTTGGTGCCACATTGCATACAAATTAGTGGTTGATAAAAATTAATTTTCCTGCCGCTTAAAACCCTCTCCACGAGATGGATATTCCACCTAACACAACCGTGGTTGCCTCCACCAACTTTATGCTTTCCAATATGGGATGTATAATTAACATGGAAACAATACATAGAACATGGAGACTGCACGCGTAAAACATGGAGACGATCTCATCTTCTAAAAATTTGAAATTTGAAAAGTAGCATGTGATGGACGGACAATCGGATTCATAGAATCAATGATCATGATGCGCTTAAACGTTACTGGTGTCAACATTGCATAAAAATTAGTAGTTCGATGAATAAAAAGTAATTTTATTGCCGCATAAAAACTGCATGGAACTGCTCATTAAGTACCAATAATGTATAGAATTGTGTACCAACAATGTATAAAATTGTGTAGATGCATACATATAATTATTCAAATAATATATGTCGAAGTGTTCTAACAATGCATAGAAGAGTGCTCTAACCATGTATATAATTGTGTGGCAGTGCACAAATAACTGCTCCAATAATAATGTATATAAATTTATTGTAACAATGTATAGAATGAACACTAAGTTACAGTTTAGCCATGCATAGAAACTTATGGACACGTTCATAAGAACAAAAAATAGGAAACAAAAGAGGCGTCGCTGCTGTTGCCGAAGATGTTGGGGAAAGGGTCGAGGGCTCGCCGCTCGTGGCCGGAGAGGGAATGAAGCTATGCTGCTGCAAGGAGAGTAGTGGGGACGCCGTGCCTGCTTGAGGAGGTTGAGCTGCCGTCAGTGGGGATGAAGGAAGTGGCACTGCCATTGTAGAGCGCCAGATCCGCCGCCGGAATGCTGTACCGGGTTGTAGGGATGGGCCGCCGCCACCAGGTGTGGAAGGGATGGGCCGCCGCCGCTACCTCCGCCTCCCCTGTGCGACGCCGGTGGTGAATGAAAGCTCTAGTTTAGTTTTGGTGAATTGATGAAACCCTAAGTGCTAACCTAATTTATCAAAGTAATTATGAGATAGGTAGCAGTACTTCAAGTGATGAAGCAAATGAAGATCATGACATGATGATGGTGATGGCATGGTGATGATCAAATGCTTGGACTTGGAAAAGAAGAAAAAAAAACAAAAAGCTCAAGGCAAAGGTGAAACTTGATAGAAGCTTTTTTGTTTTGGTGATCGAGACACTTAGTGAGTGTGATCACATTTATGATCGATAGCCGTACAATTAAGAGGGGTGAAACTCGTATCGAAATGCGGTTATCAAAGTGCCACTAGATGCTCTAACTTATTGCATATGCATTTAGGATCTAGTGGAGTGCTAACACCCTTGAAAACATTTGTGAAAATATGCTAACACATGTGCACAAGGTGATACACTTGGTGGTTGGCACATTTGAGCAAGGGTAAAGAAGATAGAGTTGAAATGTGCTGGTCACGGGGTGACCGGACGTGTTCGACGTGTGGATCGGACGCGTCTGGTTTCTTCCTGACGTGACCGGACGCGTTCGATATCCATATCAAACACGTTCGTATTACTTCATGGCGAGTTGCCGGACTGGGTCGCGATGACCGATATCCATATCAAACACGTGTTGGTCTAGAGGACCGGATGTCGGCCAAGCATCCGGCGAGTTGAGTCTGAGCTCTCTAGACTCGTGATCGGACTGACGGCGTCCGAGCGCCCACACCGACGACCCGGTATGAACTAACAAGACTTCGGGCAATCAATCATCGCTTAGCGTCCTCACAGGTTGAGGTGATCGTGGAAGCCGGTGTGTGTTGGTCTAGAGCCATTGGACGCCAATGGCTATGTTTGAAAGGGACACGTGCGTTCGCGACCGGACGTGTCCGGTCACCCACCGATCGTCCGCACACAACTACGGAATAATTGAGCCAACGGCTCTATTGTTTGGGGTGTCTATAAATATCATTTCGCCGGCTCTAGCTCAATCTCTTGGCCATTTGCATTGACATAGCAATATTGTGAGCTTAGCCAAAGCCCTCCCACTCATGTTCATCATTGATTCATCATCTTTATGAGATTGAGAGTGAATCCAAGTGCATTAGGAGCCTAGAGCGATCAGCATCTAGCACTTTCAGCTCAAGCCCTCCCACTCATTCGCGCGGCCGTTGAGTGTTGGCACTAGAGGCACTTGGTGTTAGGTTTTCATTCGGATTCGCGTGTTACTCTTGGTGGTTACTGCCACCTAGACGGCTTTTAGCAGCGGGGATCATCGAGCGGAGGTTGGTAATTGTCTCTGGCTCCGATCGTGGTGATTGTGAGGGGTTCTTGACCTTTCCCCTACGGAGAGCTAAAAGGTACTCTAGTAAATTACTCGTGGCTTGTGTGATCCTTTCTTGTATTGGTTGTGCGGCACCCTATCAAGGGTTTAGCGTGTGATGCCAATTAGCGCATGAATCTCCAAGTGAGTAAATCGCCACAATGGGGACTAGCTTGCCGGCAAGCAAGTTGTAACAGAACCGACCAATTATACGAAATTAAGTAAGAAAATCATCCACCAGAGCAGACGATTGAGCAAACTTAAGCCCGTATAACCCGGTAGTCCGTGAAATCACGAAGGATTTCAAACCA